TAGAGTGCAGGTACCCATGGAATCCAGAAGAAGGTATCAGATCAGAGTTACAGGCAATTGTGAACTGCTCATGTGAGTGCTGCGAACCAAACTTGGGTCCTCTGCAAGCATAATCCTCCACTCTTAGGTGCTAACCCATCTCTCTAGCCACTATTGCTCAATTTTCTTTGTCATTTGATGGTCTCCAGTTTTACTTCAAGAGGACAGTGATACTCTCTGCCCTACCTGACATTTAAAGCTGTGTTGAGTATTTCATGGTTGATAAGATGCCTTGGAAGCTGTGGCTCAGTCAAAAGTGCATGCTCATCTCCTAGAAAGCATAAGTGTCAAAGGTATGGCTCTGGGCTTCCATCTTTGCTTCCTGACTTCCCACCCACGTGGTCTTGGGTGGGGTGCCTCCACTTGCCCACTTTCAGCCTCATCACTTGGGAAATAAGCTTGCTGTAAGGCTCTCACAGGGAGCATTTAGCATGGTATCTGATACAATGAGTGTTTAATACATGTCGTTGTTATTTTGAAAGTCTCACTATATAAGTCTGGCTGGCCCAGGGCTCACTGTGTAGCCAAGGCTGTCCTTGAATTCAGAGATCTGCTGTTTCTCCTCCTAAGTACTGGTATTAAAGGCATGTGCCATTGTGTTCAGCAAATCAATCATCAAGCAATCAATCAATTAATATATATGGGTGTTTTTGCTGCATGTATGTCTATGCACCATGAACATACCTGGTACTTGCAGAGGCCAGAAAAGAGTATCAGATCCCCTGGAACTAGAATTGCAGATGATTGTGAGCCTCCCTGTGGAAGCTGAGAACTTAACCTGCGTCCTCTAGAAAAGTAGTTTCTTAGTTACTTCTTATTGCTATGACAAAATACCATGACCAAGGCAGTTTATGAAAGAAAGGGTTTAGTTTGAGCTTCCATTTTCAGAGAATTATAGTCCATGATGGTGATGCAACACAGGTAGGAACAGCTGAATGTTTATATCTTGATCAGCAAGGAGGAGGCAGAAATGGAACACTGGGAATAGCATGTGTCCTTAAAACCCTCGAACCTTACTCCCAGTGACACACCTCCTCCAACAAGGCCACACCTCTTAATCCTTCCCAAAGAGTTCCACTAACTGGAGCTCAAGTACTCAAACATGAGCTTATGTAGGAACTTTCTCATTTAAATCACCACAAGCAGCTAGCTCTTAATTGCTTAGTCATCTCTTCAGCCCCTTTTATTATTTATTGTTAATTTTTATTGTACATTTATATTTTCACGATGTATGTGTGTGTGTGTCACAGGACAACTTTGTGGAGTCAAGTCTGTCCTTCCACCTCTACATGGGCTCTAGGGACCAAATTCAGAGCACCAGGCTTGCATGACCAACACCCTTTGCTGCTAAGCCATCTGTTACTGGCTTTATTTTAAACGTAAAGGCACAGTATTAAGATTTTAAAAAATTCTATATCCCATTCCACTGGCTTCAGTCGCCGCAAGAATTCTCTTTCAGAGACTTCATCTCACTCAGGTGAAGCTGGATCCATAACTTCGCCACAGAAAATAATTTCAGGACAAGCTAATGTAAAGCAACTGCTTTAACAAAACAGAGTTTGTTAAAGGTGATTTTAAGCACGGATGTAAACATTTATGAAGTTGATTGCTTAAATGCATTTATGTAGGTGGCTTGTTTCCTGCTGCAAGGAGTCACCTCTTGGGCCTTGCACAGCTAAACAGAGGTTCTGGCATCGAGCTGCACTTCCAGTCCTAAGCACATTGTAACAACAATGGATTGCTAAATATGTTCTTATGGGAGAGGGCAGGGAACACAGTACAAATCAGCCTCTGCCAGGGGCAAGGCAGGTGTCATGGGAGCGCATTTCTAGGACCCCTCCCCCCTAGTTTAGGGTCTAGCTCTGCTGAGAGGAAGTGATGTTTAAACAGAGAAAATAGAGCAGGAAGCTGTGGTAGAGGCTGGCCTGGCATGCCCACGTTCAAGCACTATAAAACCAGCAAAGAAGCACAAACACAAGTAGAAATTGCCTAGAACTAAGGTCAGTGTGTGTGTTGTGATGATGGTGGTGCTGCTGCTGCTGCTGCTGGTGTGTGTGTGTGTGTGTGTGTGTGTGTTTGTGTTTGTGTTTGTGTGTGTGTGTGTGTGTGTGTGTGTGTGTGTTTTGCTCCTGGCAGGTGAGACAGCTTGTACTACAGAGAAGACAGGACATATTGAGGAGAGTGAAGGGCCATGCCAGCTACTATTTGCTGAGTTTTGTCTTACGATTGATTCATCTGAAAGATGACTGACATGGAGGCACACAGCCGTAACACCAGCACTGTAGAGAGAGACACAGGAGGATTGCTGCCACAGTTGTTCTCCATGTCAAGTCCTTGCCACAGATAAAAGTGGAAACCAAGCTACAATCTGAATAGCTGCCGTGACTAATGACTGCCATACTGGATGGTACAGGTCTGGAGTGTACTGGTGAGGGTGGAGTGGCTGGGGCAGGCCTCTGGACTGCATGAGATTTGTTGTATGAAGTTTGTGTTTTATTCTTAGTACTATCAAAAAGTGGCTTGGAGCCAAGAATGTGTGTGTGTGTGTGTGTGACATACATTTATTATTTATTTATTTATTTATTTGGTTTTTCAAGACAGGGTTTCTCTGTGTAGCCCTGGTTGTCATGGAACTCACTCAGAAGACCTTTCTGGCCTCGAACTTAGAAAACCACCTGCCTCTGCCTCCCAAGTGCTGGGCTTAAAGGCGTGCGCCACCACCGCCCGGCTATTTATTTATTTTTATTATTTAGTTTTCCTTTGATTACTGATACTGTGAGTCAAACAGAGGGCCTTACACATGCCACTAATTCCACCATTAAAGCTAAATGCTGGCCCTGTAGAATGAAAATTATGGAGATCATTTTAAGTTTTAAGTTTGTAGAATTTACTTTGGATATATAGGATACTCTTTAAGTTTTCAACAAGGGCATGGAAAATTTCTGTGTGAAAGGAGCCATGAAGCAAGCCAAGAATGTGCAAAGACCAGTCAGTCACCATTACTGGAACTGGCCAACCGCAAAGAGGAAGGAAAGAATGCAAGTGAACTAGGTGGAACCAAGCTGGTAACCAAGCTGGTAACCAAGCTGGTAACCAAGCTGGTAACCAAGCTGGGAACCGCAGTGATAGGGCAGGACCACATTCTTGAGAAAGAATAACATGCAGAGAGTTTTCACATGACCCTGACTCAAGTAGGTTGGGTTCCTTTGGAATGTTCTGCTATTTTTATGTTATGCCACCTTAGTAACCCCTCATCCCCCTCTCCATTCCCTGGTTTGTGGTTTTTCCCTTTAAAAACCCCTCTCAAACTGGCTGTCTTTGTCAATTCAGCTCCTGCGTGAGCAGACGAATTGACCGTTAGCCCGGCTAACTTTCCCCAATAAAAGCCTCTGCTGATTGTATCCAGATTTGGTGCCTTGTGAGTTTGTGGGTGGTTGTGTCATCCCGAGACATGCGTGAGGGTCTTCCCTGAGTCAGGGTCTTCAGCCCCTGGTTTATAGTTTTAGCAGACCACCTTAGTTGGTATAAGAACGGGGTATGACCTATGAATGTAGCAGTGGAGAAGCAGGGCGACCAGTTTGGCAGAACATTCTCAGGGGAGAAAAATTAGTGCTTTGGACCAATCACAATTTTTGGATATGGAGCAATGACAGAGGTCTTCCAGTGAAAGACAGGAGGAGAGATGGTCCTCCTGCTCTATGACAGTATAGGGATGGGGGTTGGGGGGTGGGGTGGTTGTACAATCTCAGCCATTCCTGTTGGCCACCTGATCTCCACCTGCTGGCAGTTTCTGGAAGTGCCCTTATAAATGGATAGTGAAGCCTTGGGGGATCCCTGGGGTCAGGACTCTGAGTGAATCTTCCCTAGATGGGAATATGGCTGGATGGGTTGGGGTGCACTCTTTGGGGGCAAATGTTAGACTGAACCTCTTCTCTCCCTGGTGCCATCACACATAAACTCTTGTTTATGGGTCAGACAGTGATGAACCACATGGCTGGGGGAGAGCACATGGTGTTAAAAAATCAGGAGAGGTTTGCGTCGGTGTTGTGGGGCAAGAATCCCACACCGGTGTAAGCTTCCACCCAAGCCAAGGTCCCAGCACCCTAGGGCTTCCTCTGACTGCCCCAGGGGCTTCTCTGGTTAGGAAAATGGGTGGAAGTGCACCGATGGAGGAGCAGGGCGTGTCTCCCGAAAGCAGGGTGTGGCCAGTGGTCCTGATGATCACCCCCCTGACCAGTCACCTGTCCTTGACAGGCTGGCGTTAACCTTGCACTGTCCACTGTGTGCGACGAACAGGTGGAGGGTAGACAACACAGAGAAGGCTCGGAACCCACTGCGGAGGTTGCCGAAGCCTCATTGCTGTCAGCGTCGAGATGCACCCCTCCAGGCCGCACTTCCTCTCTCAGTCCCTTCTGCTGGAGAGCCCCACTAGGCTCAGTGATTCTGGCCTGCAGTCAGCCGCTGCTACGCCTTGGCTTCAGCCTGAGGGGTCAGTCGATGGGCAATTTGAAGATGTCCTAGGGGGTTGCGTCTGGAAGTCTGACAGTGAATTACTGAGTTGCTCTCCGGGTATCTCCATCCTGGAATAATAAGGGTCTGCATGGGCTCTGGCTCCCTAAACCTCCGGGCTCCTTCCTCTGCTGCCAGAATGGGGATCCCAGGAGATAAGGCAGACAGACTCTGGGAAGACAGTTGTTGCTGCTGGGGTTTGGGAATGATGTCAGAGGCAGTATCTGCCAGGATTTGCTTGAGGATGGAAGCTAGACTGCACAAAAGGAGGATGCCCATGTCCTACTAATGTGGGCAGAAAGGTGAAGGCTCACAAATTCTAGTGGAGGTAGCCAGTCAGGCCCCCTGGCTATTGTGGAAAATGCCCCACCCACTTCTCTGAGTGTACTGGGATCCTGTAACAAATTGAGAGTGGGCCCAGGCCACGCTATCACTTCCTGTCTTAGCCCTGTTCTTTTCTGTTCTTTCTTTCTACCAACCTGCCCCCAACCCCTTTCTCCTACCTCCACTGTCTCCTGACCCGGCTCTGATTCTTTCCTTCCGTTTCTGGGAAGACAGAGGCTCCCCAGCTCTAACTAGGTCCCAGCCCTGGCCACGTGATGGAGGCTGTGGTTGCAGTTTCTGATGAGGATGAGGTTAGCTGTCAGCTAACCCCAGACCCAGTGTGGAATCTAAGGTGGCAAGGCAGACAGCGCTTGCCAGCTCTAAGCCCCTCCAGAGGTGGCATCTTGTGGCCTCAGGTATGAGTCAGACTGGAAACGTATTTGGGCTCCGAGAACTGAAGAGGACGATCACGACATAAAGCGAGGTGGAAAGTCACTTCTCTTTTCTGAGCAGCGGTTGTTCTGGCAGCTAAAGGACAGATCGGATAGACCAGTGGTTCCCTGGATAGATCTCTCTCTCTCTCTACAATAAGGGTTGTACGGCCTGCCGTGGCCAAAGAATTGAAGGTTTATCTGTCGGAACCATTGGGCACTGGGCTTGATATCAGGTAGGGAAAGAGTGGGGTTGTGAACACAAATATTCTTACTTTTAAATAGGGTTTGAGTCATCTTAAGCATCAGAAATTCCCAAGGGGGAAGCTAAAGATAGTCCTGAAATCCTGTGAGATAATATCAAAGTGACAACCCTGTCACACATCTTTGTGACACTGCCTTTCTCCCTCTTGGAAGGCTAACTGTTTCCTCTTCTGTTGCCCACTAACCCCCCCCCCCCAACACCACCCCCCCCCACCCACCCTGCCCTTTTTTTTTTTTTTTTTGAGACAGTGTATCATTATGCAGCCTTGGTCCTGGAACTCACTATGTAGACCTGGCTGGTCTCTGCCTCCTAAACACTAGGTTTAAAGGAATATACCACCAGGCATAGCTCTCTTTTATTTTTATTTTATTATATTATTATTATTATTATTATTTTTTTTTTTCCAAGACAGGGTTTCTCTGTATAGCCCTGGCTGTCCTGGAACTCACTCTGTAGACCAGGCTGGCCTTGAACTCAGAAATCCGCCTGCCTCTGCCTCCCAAGTCCTGGGCTTAAAGGCGAGTGCCATCACTACCCGGCTTTATTTTTATTTTTTTTTGTATATGTAAGTGTGGTTCTGGGTGTGTGTAGATGCCAGAAGTAGGTGTGGATTGTCTTCATCATTCTCAGCTTCACTTCTTGAGCTGGGGTCTCTCACTTAACTCAACTAGATTGGCTGGCCAGCAAGCCTCTTGTCTCTGCCTGCCATTCTTCACTGAAATTAAAGATGCACCTCAGTCCGTGGCTTTTTATTTGGGTACCCAGGACCCTTCAGCTCCTCCTGGTTGTGTGGTAAGATCTTTTCTGACCCAGCTCTTTCCTCATTGTGCCCTTCCCCCAGCCAGGAGCAGGCCTGAGACTTTGTTTACCACAATAGACCAAATAATAGGACCTAGGTGGAACTAGCCACCTTGGCTGCATATCAATAGACACCTAGGTGGAGTCACATACCTTGGCTGCACATACATCCCGCTATAGGAACTTGAAAGAAGAACTGCCCCTGGGCTTGCCTTGAGACATCTCTGGCCGAGATCCGTGACCAAGAATGTATTATCCCACCCAACTCTCAGAGCTGAAACTAGGAAGGGTTTGGGCGGGGTCTTCCCCTTTAAATTGACAGCTTAACATTAAACCATCCAGCCTCGATCAGAGAACTTTGTCTTGGCTTCATCTTTTCTCGCTCTCCATCCCCTTTTCGTTCCCATCCCTCTTTCTAGGTGAACCTGTTTGACTGGTGGCCACAGGCCGCTACATATTTGCGCCTGATCCTGGGACCCAGAAAACAAGGGAGCAACTGATGAACAGCTGTCTTGGTGAGGCCTCACGGAAAACGGAAAAAGAAGGAGAGTATCCCGCACACTTGGTAAGGAGCAAACGACATTGATACTAGCGCTAGTAGTTAATTTTTGGAGGCCATGTTTGCAGGAAGTGTGTTTTAGAGGGGTACAGTCTATCTAGGACAATCAGGTGTTGACCCGACGCCTATTTCGCCTAGGAGGTGAGAGCAATTTGGGACAGGAGAATTTCCAGGCAGGCATTTGCTGCAGCCTAAAAGCTGCTTCAGGCAAGAAGAGCAGGGTTAGAAGGAATTGGAAAACTAGAAAGCAGGACACTGAGGTGTTACAATAACTGCCTGCTACATCTCCTGACGAACGAGATGAAAAGTTAGATCTTGAATATGAGAGAGAAAGAAAAGGTTCCAGAAAAGCAGTTGTCCTCTCTCTGAGCTATGTCAACTGAAGACCTCCGCAGAGGGGAGACCCTCTCTCAAGTCTCAGAAAGTCGCGACCACCCAGTAATCTACTCGAGACACCATATACCGGAGCAATTGCGAGGTTATTTATTAGGGCGTGACAACTAGCTGCCGGTCAATTCGCATGCCCACGCAGGAGCTGAATTGACCCCGACTGCCAGTTTGAGGGGTGTTTTTAAAGGGAAAAACCACAAACCAAGGAAATGAGGAGGGGGTGAGGGGGTTGCTAGGGTGGTATAACATAAAAATAGTGGAACATTCCAAAGGAACCCAACCTACATGAGTCAGGATCAGATGAAAACTCTCTATACACTTATCTTTCTCAAGAATGTAGTCCTGCCCTGTCACTTCCGCCTTGCCCTGTCACTTCGGCCTTGCCCTGTC